GTCGTTAAGGTGCTTCGTTTTTCGGTGTTTCGTGGCCGGGCATAGTCGCGAACATGATCGATGAGCACCCGCCAAGGTGCTCCTGGGATCCACCGAAATTTCGTGTACGCGAGTCAACGCGGCCTAATGAATTGATAGAACGTTTCCAGGATATGCCGACGCGGAGAGGTCCGCCAACGAGGAAGAACGAAAAAGTGTCGTCCGTCGTTTAATTTTGTTCTCGAGAAATACTCCACAGCTATTTTCCATCGCGTCACTGGTATACGTATATCGCGATATTCGTAGAAGTTGGCAGATTAAGTTGTAATAACACGGTCTTATGAAGATCTCGAGTTTTATTCGCGAATATATCTCGCCGCTGTAAAACGGGATTCCCGCTATTATTATTATATCGAAAACCGGCTACGACGTGATCTGAACCGGTTGCACCGACGCCTATTTGTGGCTTATGAAAATCCTTAAGTCTCGTAAATCACGAGTTATGGAACGGATGTAAATTATGATTATTGCCGACTTTACGACACTCCGCGGCACCTTCGTAATCCGACTGTCACACCGTAAAGGCGAAAGTAAGGAATCGCAATAAGTAGAAACTTTACGATCGGCCGATCGCTGGAATTGCTGCGCGTGCGTAGGTTCGAAGGGTAGGCCGAAGCAAAGGTAGGAAGGAAGGAAGGAAGGAAGAAAGAAAACAGCAGTAATTTCGTTCGGAACGTCGTGGGTCATTGTGTCGGTCGTCATAAACAGATGAACTCTATGGAATTACTTTACTGGCAATACGTCATTCGCAATTTATTCGTTAATGCCCGACCCGTTAAACGAGCTGATTGCCGGTGAAATGGGATTTTCGAGTTTCCTCGAGGACTTCGAAATATCGTGCCACGTCTAAATTGCTGTTCTGACAATAGGATGATTTAGTGTCTCGCATTGAATGGTCGTTAGCGAAATCATTTCCCTCCTAATAGCACCGTATTTCTCCAACTCGAAACGAGCGAAATATGAGGAATTTTCGAAAGCTGGCCCACGTGCTACGCGCGTATCTACATCGTTCGGTCGTAACGTACCTCAAAATGCATAATTAATCATCGTTTTATCGTTATACTTATTTTAATTAGCTGCAAATACAGGGCCGTTGTACAAAACGTAAATGATTAATTAATCGAACCATAATGATCATGCGAATACAATTGCCCGGTGTCACTGCGATACAGTGAGTTCAATTTGTTATGGTTCGATTAAAAATTCAATACAACGAGCCGCGCCCATTTGAACGATGGTCCCTGTCCCCGTATATTACGAATTTCGGTGCATTAGTGGCGACAAATCAAATGGAATTCATAATTATGGCGTAATTAAAATTTTTAACGTGCAGGTCTTTTAATGAATAGCGCTCAATTATCGTCATATTACACGGCGAATTGAACGTTAATTACTTTTCCCGCCATAAATGTAATTGTATTCGGTTTAACGATAACTTGCGATACCGGCACGCTCGAAACGTCCACCCGATGTTATCGACTTTCACATCGTAAATTGTTTCACAGGCTCGAAAGCAAGTAGCCCTAGCTCGCCAGACAGGAATTTAATCCTTGGCTACTAAGGATTAAGGGTTCAAGAGCGAATGAACTTTCATTAAAAAATCTAATTTTCAAGAGGCACTACGTTTAACCTAGGGGATAGAATTAAATTTTATGTGCTTCCTTTTCCGCTCACGGAAGCATGAAACTTGGTTCGCTCGAGAGATGCCTGAAGCAGACAACAAATGCCATTTTGTCCAGGAGTATACGAATATTCGCCGATTATTCGCATATTCGATCTTACGCGTTTCGTACGATTCCTTCCGGTATCTATTCACGCGTTTGCGCGCGATTTTAAACGTTTTATCGGCTAAGAGGGTTGCACGCGTTTACGCGAAGGCCGCGTGTTTCGAATTTATTCTTACAGCCGGCACTCGTCTCGAAGTAAACGGATCTACATATTCAGCCAGTTAATTGCCTTGCTCGTGTGATGCGGGTATCATGGTGAAGATTAGCGAAACCTCACGAAGCATGAGAACTAAACCAACCCGATGCGCGCATTAAGTTTACGCTCGTGCCGTGTGGTACACTTGAAATGAGAAGATCACCGAAACGGCTAGGATGTCGGGTTAAACTCAAGCTACTTTCTGACGTGAATCTGATACAGGACAACGACAAAAGAACTTGTTACTTTTCCGTTGTGATATTCAAACGTGAACGAGACAGGATTAAGGTGGAATTACGTTTCGCGGGGGATAAAAGCTCATTTGCGCGGCAAAAGTAGCAATCCGCAGAGAAGTGACTCCCAGGGATGTAATTATATTCGTCCTCGGGTGTATTAAAAGAATATATCCTCCTGGAAAAAAGCGCCAAGTTACAAAATAGTCGAGCTGCTTACCCGATACCGATGTTCCCTCGACGAATTAACCGATCTTCATATTTTTACCACGCCAACACCGTACGATCGATCTAATCTGCATCGATGCATTATACCAGTGAGGATGAATCGCTCGCCAGGAAGAGAACGAAAAGACGTTATCCTCGATTGTACGCGTTACAGGTAAACGCATTAAGCGTGCCGCAACGTTGGAATTCATCGAACTCGCGAAAAGACTGATTCTATTTGACTTCGAAAAGAATTCATAAACCATTTTTATCGAATTCGCGCTACCACGCGCGCTTTCCCATTGAAATTTAATCTTCGAACAAACCGGTGAAAATACCGCCGTTTTCGTGTTCACCCGCGATCCTTAAATGCACGTGTACGCGCACCGTCGAAACATTTTTACAGTATTCGTGCTCTATATTTATTTTCTCTCCTTTTTTTATTCCCCTCCTTTTCACGCGCAACTCTGCGTTTGCATATGCGAAAATTGTTTCATCTTTGATCATGCGAGATGCTCGGTGAAACGCAAAGTTCTGTATTTTACACACCCGTCAACGAAACTCAAGGGCGTGTAAACACAGGGCAAACGAATATTTCAAATACCGCGATAGTCGTGTTCGGTGAAAAGCGCCAGGACATTTTGCTAGGGGCAACGACGAACTTTAATTAACGCTCGTGGAAAGAAAGGATGAGCGGCGAAAGAAAGGAAAAAGAGGGGACGAGAATAGAAAAGGAAAAGGCAAAGTGGGGAAAAATGACGCGAATGTCGGGATAATATATAACGCATTAAACGGACTTTATCCCGCTGTCGATTTTCGTAGCGAGGTACGCGGACTTAAAGCGTTGGCACGCAAATTGAAACACAGTTTCGCCGAACGTTAATTACTTTTCAAACGCGACCGTGCCATTCGTACGCAAAGCGAAACACCGTTTCGAGCGGAGCAAAAAGTGTCTTGGTGATTCGTGAAATTTTGCGTTTTTAATCGGCGCGGAGCGATGGTCGTTTTGGATTGCGCGCCTCTCTGGCGAGCATTAACGGAACGAACCATTTTCGAGGAGCCACTCGGTATTTGGATCTCGAGCATCCCGCTACGTAAGCCATCGTATCCTTAAAAGGGCCATCGCCCTGGCCCAAACACGAAGGGTCAAAACACTTTGGTGCACTTGCCTGCGAGAAATCCATCCTCCGCGAGTATGATAAAAAGATCTCCCCACCCATCGTTTCCTTTCTCTCACCCTCCGCTTCCTGCTGCCGCTTCGCCCTCTCCGCTGCTCCCCTTTCTTCTTTTCCTGATCCTAGAAGAATGGAAGGACTCGAAGTGGCGAGCATGTGCCACGGGATTGGCCGGGGCACTTTCTTGCTGCTCGTTCGAAAAGCGGCCCCGAGTAGAGGCGAGTGGAGTCGAGTCGAATCGGGCGCAAGGGTGTACATGCGCGGGTGTACTAGCGCCGAAATATTTCTGAAAGAACGGCGGCTGACGGGAACGAGATCCGGAAAGTCCTTGGAAAGAGAGGAAAAGAAAGATACAGCGCGAATAAGGAAGGATAGAATAAGGAAGGAGGAAGGAGCGAGAGAGATAGAAGTATGGAGGAAGAGGTACGAGAGTGAGGTATATACCGAAGAAACGGGTGGTCGTTCGGTCGTACGTGAAGGGTCGGCGTTAGGCAGTTGGAACGTGGAATAGCGAGGAAAAGGATAGATGGAGAGAGAAAAAGAAATGAAGCGTGGTAGGGTGAGAGTAAGGGCAAAAGGACGACGAGGGGATCGAGGGTGAGAGGAGAGCGAGAGGGAGAGAGAGAAAGAGAGAAAGCTGGACGAGGGGTTGGTGTGCCTAGGGTCGTGCGAGAAGAGAACCGGGGAGTGGGGAGATTCTCTAGCAGAAACCAGTCGAGTCCCGGCCTCAGGTCGCGACGGGTGTTCAGTTTACAGGCGAGCGCCGTACCGTGCGGTTGCCTTGCACGCTGTTACGGGCTGTAAATTCTGTGCTCGTTACCGGAGCCGATCAAACTTTTCGACTCGATAGTTCGGCACAGTGAACAACGTGTTTGCCAATAACGCGTTAATTTCGAGGAAAAGTATCGGGACGATAAGCTATATTTCGCGGCGGTGCAAACACTCGGGCCATGCCACGTATCGTATAAATGGTCGAGTCAATCGCGTGTGACGAGATCGTACCCGTCAGTTCCGAGTGCGGGGTAACCCTCGGCCGTAAACTGATATAACCGTGACAACGTATACAAAGTCATCGTGCCTGGACGTGCTTGTCAGCCGAGGTCGCGTCGAACGCCGTACGCAGTATAAACAAACAAACCTGGAGATTTCGTAGAAACGGCTGCTCGAACTCCGTCGCCTATTTCGCAGTGTAAACTCTGGCTCGGACGTTTGCCATGCTCCGATGTTGTCGTGGCCGATGTAGTCGTTGATCGTCGCATCGGGTAAACGTTGAAAAACTTGGACATCACGCTCGAAGGATTCTGACCCGTGATTTAGTGAGTGAGAGTGACAGAAGTGTGTAAACGGGGAGCAAAGTGAAAAAAGCGAGAAGTCTTTTTTACAACGGCCAAGATACCTCGCTAAGATTTTTCCTGCCACTCGTATTTCTTCGGTGGAGAAGTTCGCAGACTATTAAACCTGGCAGCAACTTCAGCCTACTTCGTTCAACGAGTGGTAAGTCTATCCGTTTCTCTTTGCCTCTATCTATCTCGCTCTATCTTTCTTTCTGACTCCGTCTCCCTTCTTCCCAATCTCCGTTCCTCCTCCCCATCTTTATTTCGCTTTTTGTACGCGCGACTCTGTCAACTGGGCGCATTTGCTCCTAACTTTACTCGGCTTCACGGCAGATAAGATCCGTACGTTGTGGGAGGAACTGCAGGGATCCTACAGAGAAATCTCTTTGACGACATCGACGTCGATCGGTCGTCCACTTACGTCCTCTCGTCCGGTACGAAATAGAAGGCGCACGACTGCTTCGAGATACACTCCACTCTCGCATCTTCTCGCGTCTCGCTTTGTCCCGCACTCTTTTCTCGGTCCTCTCTCTCGCGCTTGTACCGCATCCTACCGTTGATGCTATCGCGTGTGGCGCGAGCGACGTTTACGCGCCAAAAAAGTCGTGAAAACGAAGATGGCTGCCGCGCGGGGATCGTCGACGTCGCGTTATCGTAACAGTATCGAAAAGTGGACTCGATCGAGTGACGTGTTCTCTACGACATTCGCTATGTCGCATCTCGTGTCGTGTCTCGTCGTCGCGAAACGTTCTAGTTCGTGGAAGAGGGAGCCGTGATCGGTTTCGATGAAAATAAAGTGGTCGCGAATTGTTCGTTCTGTTCGCCGTTGTGCCGAGTGCGTAGCGATGAAAGATATCGCCATATTTCATCACCTTGTCACACGATGTTTCATCGATTTGCCTACGCGTTCGATGTTGACGTCCGTCAACATCCTTCAACGCCTTGTGAAAGTACGTAAGTACTGTTTTCCGCAAAAATTTCTCATTTTCTGTTTCTTTCGCGTAATCGAGAATGTACGAATAAAAGACGTTAAGAAGATTCGTACGACGCTTGCCCGAACGGGCTGGTCGAAGTGAAAGGAAAATTCGGCGTGAAATGAGAATTTGGCTTTAGACGCGTTTAATCTCGACGTTTCGCGGGGCGTATCTCCATTTTAATATTCTCAATCGAATCGAGGCCGACTTTTCTTGCGTCTGTAGGAGTTCGGCCATTGTTCCCGCGAGATTTACTATTCACGAGGCTGAATGCTTAATTTGCGTGTATGCCGCTTTTGGTTGCGTACGCGATATATCGTTAGAAGCCAGTTCGACGCTCCGGCAATATTCCCCGGTTTTTTGCAATTCGAATTTTTACAATCAAGCTGCTTCTAAGCAACAACTGTGCCTGCGAATGTTTATCTTGATACCGTGGAAAATGTTCCGTTTCACTTTACGAAGCGGAACAGTGACGGAACGAAATTTCCGAGTGCGGGAGGTTAGGAAACTTTTAAAAATACAACTGTGATTCTGGTTTTCCCTTCGAATTTCGGAAAACTCGATTCGTCTCGTTTGCCGATATATCGCGAACTTTCGGATTCCTTTTATCATTTTCCTCGAATTTTTACGAAACTGACGATGTCTCTCGTAATAATTCGTAATTTTATCGGAGCTAAATCGACGAGGGCTGCCATCTAGATTAGAAATATAGAAACTACGCGATTGATAACTTAACTATATACAGGATGGCGCTACGAAAGACGCACAATAAGCGACAGAATGATAGAATATTTTCAAAGCGACGTATCTCGGTGTCAAAAATTCGACTATCAATCAAATTTGACTTTACAACGGAAGGTTAGAATTACGCTATACCGAGAACAGAAATATCGCAGCAAAATTAGTATCCTTGCAATATTTTGGTAAATATAGGAAAAATCGATATTTTCTATTTATTTATCTTCTATACCCAACATGGCAATTTTTACGGCTACATTCGTGTTCGGTGTAGGAAAATATGAAAAAAATTTTCACGTTCTAAAAACGAAGTCTCTCTGCTTTTTTTCGGACCCGTGTCATTTTTCGCGCAACATATTTACAGCAAAAAAAAAAAAAAGAAAAAAGAATCTATAAAATCATTTACTATATATTATTTGGAAAATTAATCTTTCGCGTTACTAGGAACAGGATACCTCGTACGGGCGTATGGGAAAAATTTGCATCTGCACTGGTCTCGAGTAACTCTGCGAATACACGCGTTTATTCCGATGGTGCGAACGGCCAAACGCTAAACTCGTAATTTACAAGTGTTCCATAAATCGCGACGCGATTTCGCATCATGGATGCCACACGGCGATATTCTCTTGATGTGTGACGAGTAAAAGCTCGCTGAAACTTTATCGTGCGTGCACGATCTTGGGATCGCGAAGTTGATTTAACGCAAATGACAATGAATGACCCAATTTCTACGCGACCGGTCAAACGGTTCTTACGAACCGCCCGAAGTATACCTAATGGCCATATCCAGCATGCAAGAGCGAGAATTTAAGAGCATTGTCGTGTAGCGGAGTCGAGTTGGAAATAAGAAAAGTTAGAATGAAACTCTTTGCGTCGGGGTTCACCGGTCGGGAAAGTCCATCTCCACGGTTTTCCCCGCCGATCGCGATATCACGGGTGTCTGTAAATCTCGTCGAGACCATCTTCCGCCGTATCCACGCCGATGGAGAAGGATCGCGATGATGCGGGATAAAAAATATGACGCGGAAACGACGAGAAATAAAATCGCAACCCGGTCGCCCGGTTTTTACGTCATAATCTCGACGTTACGCGATACACGCGGCAACCCGTATAAAACAGAGATATATCGCTTCGCGAGGGAACCAGATTTTTATCCATTCGAAAACACTAATTCGATGTTGGAGGAATTACGCTTATCACCGAGATTTCCGGACGGTGTAACGCCGCAGCGCCCCGTGCAGGGGTCGCTCGCGTTCCTTTTTCCGCAGCGTTTCATTAATTTCGAGCCGAACGATTCAAAGGGGAGAGATTTTTTAAAACGTCCTTTCGCGCCGCGTTCCGCGCGTAATGCAAGGGCCTCGTTGATATGAAATTTTTTTCTTCGCGCAATCTGTTTCCACTCGCTCCCTGATCCCCGGGACGCTTTGCGTGGAAAACGCTGCGGATGCAAAAGAGAAAGAATCGGTGTTGGCAGAAATTAGCGGGCACGAGATAATGAATACGGCGATTTCAAAGAAGGAGAAATTGAACCTCGCTTGCGTGGCAGATCGAGCGCTGATTCCACTTTTAATGAACGAAAGATAACTCGCGGGAGTTCGTTATTTTTTGCCACCCGGAAAGAACCTCTCGATTTACCGCGTCGGAACATTTGCTCAGCTTTTATGCGGATCGTTAATCGTCCTTTGCGTAACCTTTATACGGGAAAATTACGGTAAACATCCGAATGACCGCTTTTGCTCGACGATGTTTACGCGCTATTCGTCGAAATCCACCGGATAACGAACACTTTCGTCAAAAGTGTGGAATCGTGTACAGCGATATCGTAATATTCCGCACGGTGAATGCTAATAACTAACGGGCTATTCTAACGATGGTCATTAATGCATCGATAATTAGAGCCGAGTAATTAATTGCTACCCACGGCAGTGTCTCCCGACAAATTAATTGTACGATTGGCTGATCGAATTCACGTGCACGACTTAATTTCGCGTGTTTAAATTGCTATCCTATAATTAGCCGCGTTCTCTAAATAGCCGGTTCGGTTACAAATAGCCAGACTGGTTTTTCGCTACCGGTGTCGGGCGAGATATGCGACAAATCGCTTGGAAATTATCCTGCTTTGCACGCCGGCGTTCACCCGGGATGACGGTACGCGAAAGTTACCGGAGGCATTTGCGTCTTACATCCTGTTACGTCACGCCTGAGCCCCAAAGGAGGACGAGATCGCGAAGAAAAAGTACGATCGGCCCCGACGCCGTCCGGCGTGCTCGTCGTCGTCGTCGTTGTCGTCTATCCTCGTGTTTCGATACGGAAGATACCGGTCTTCTATCCCGTCTAGTAGGCGTGTGTCGCAAGACGAACAACGTCGCCGTTAGTCGTGGCAACGACATCAGCAACAGCGGCAGCAGTTGGAAAGTTTCGGGGTAGAGCGTAGAGAATTTCCATAAGTTGAGAGATGGCTTCTTCGCAAAGTGAGAAAAGATTGTCGCGCGAGGGGCGAAAGCGACGCCGAGACCGGAGATGGTGCTGCCGGATAGCGCCGCCATGGCTATACGTTACTCGCTTGTCCTGTGCCAGGATCTTTACCGGCTATCTCCTTTAAGACCCCCCTTCTCTCCAACCTCTTCGTTTGCCTAGAGCGCGAGACGCTTCGCGTTTTCGTCTCTTGCACGCTTCCTTCCTCGCATCCATCCATCCTTTCTTTCCTGCGGTCGGTGGCAGCGCGTGCTTTCTGCTCGTCGCATCTGCATAGAAATCACGCGAGAACCGTTCCCTTCGTGTTGCTTGCCCCCTCTGCTCGGGGTGCGGCTACCTTCTCCTATAATTCTCTTTCTTTTTTCCTCCCCTCTGCTCACTCTCTCTCTCTCTCTCTCTGCACACCCATCTTCGCGTAATTCGGCAGTCTCCGAGCCCGCAGCTTTGCCCCGGAATTTTTCGCCCGTGCACGCCGTTCGAACGAATCGCGATGCGTTTCCCTCCGTCGTAGGTCCTCGTGCTCGCGTCGCGTTCCGTACCCGTTCGAATCGATCCGCTTCCCCGTTAGATCCCGATTATTCGTAATTCGTCTGTTCGTCGTTACCACGATTACCTTCTCACGCGGAAGAAAGAGCGAGGGCTATATCGCGATTTTCATTTCCTTCCGCCGTTATCGCGATCCAACGCGATCCAGCGCGATTCAACGGCGACTCGATAATGACGTTAAACACGGCCGCGCGTGGGCCTCGAAGCGGTCGAATCGTTAGGTCACCGTCTAAATCTCAGGAACAGATAAGGCAACGTTAAAGGTCGATATCGGCTGTGCAGTACCGCTCTCTTTCTCTCTCTATCACCCGACCAAACGCCCGCTCACGCGAATTCTCGTTTTGCGAGCACCGCGATACGATCTCGTATATTTCCCGCGTAGATTTCGCGCCTCGTATCGATCTGACTTATTTTATGCGGCTAATAA